TGAATGACCCTGTCGAAAGACAGTGATTGATCTCACTTGTCAATGTTATTTGCCGATAACCTGGTGCAACGCATGGGTGATTGCTAGAGGCAAGTTCACTTGACAGACCCACCAGAGGATTCCATATGGATGGTAACCCTAGTGTCTATAGAATAAATCCTCTAACGGATGGTGGTGCATGTGATCCTTAGACTTGAGATCACCGGAGTGCCTTATTCACCAATTGGTGTAGTTTGACACTAGCCCAACGTAGTTCTATTAACAGCTATCAATACAGTAGTGATTGACTACATTGAGAAGTGTATCGAGACTATGGTAGATCGACAAAGGATTCATCACTCTTGGGTATGAGAGAAGTTATCTCACTGGGTAATTCAGTAAATGACAGTGACACTAAATCTGTGGCCACGGTAGGATTGAGTTGTTGCTCAATCCAATTTATTATTCTGGTCATTGGTCCAATAACTAAATACAAACATGTTGAGGATATTTAAGGTTGACACTATATCTGTACCTTAGTCTCGATGAGATAACATATGATGAAAGGATTTGATTGCACAGTAACCATATCGTTGATAGGCTGCAGTTTCGCTGAATTCAAATATATCGGGTGGCCATGATATCTTGCTAGGGGCCAATCTTGGTATGTGTGTAGTGAGACGATTAATTGGTATTAATCGTGATACTACACATTGCCGATATGATGAGGAGCCTACGGGTCACACACTTAGAAGATAATTTAATAATCGTTTTTGCGAAATGGGTATTTTTGTCTTTTATGACAAAAGGGTATTTTGGTAATCTCACAGTGCAATTAAATTTGCTAAGGTTGTTGCATGTATTTAATTTTAATATTTAAATTAAAATTAGTAAGATTATATTTAAATATATGTGTGCATGTATTTAAATAGATTATTTTTATTAATAATTAAATGTTAATATATTATTATATATTAATTGATTTTAATTATATTAATAATTAATTAAAATTAAAATACCATAAAGGGTGTGTTTGGTTGCAAGGGTGAATTAAGGTTGGAGCCATTGACTATTCCTTATTGGAATAAGGTTTTAATTGTTGTACTACATAAGTGCAACTTAAATTAAAACAAAGGATGATGAATATTCAATAATTAAAACCCTAACCACCCTTTTATTCTCTCTCTCACGCCTCACTCATTGATTGAAGAGAAACACTATTTCTCTTCTTGACTCATTGAAAACCTTGATTCTTGAAGCCATGAAGAAGATCTAGTAAATCCCTTGATAGTTCTACGGATTATCTTCGTGTGGACGACGTGAGTGCGATTCTACTTTGAATCAGGAGCGAAATCAAATTAGAGATATTGAAGGAGCCTCCAAACGTTGGTAATGTATTCCGAATCCTTGTATGGGTTAGACTTTGATTTATTAAGATTTTGTTTACACTGTTTCGTTTATAATGTTATAATCTTGCCCGGATTTTGAGTCGTTAATGTGATGATCAAATTCGTTTTGTTTTATATTCTGTCTTTTTCTGCTGTGCAAATCTGTTCACTCACTTACAAACTCTACTCGACGTTAACTGCAAAAAACAAGACAGGACGATCAGTTAGATGTACAGCTCAAGAACAATCCTCGCACAAAAACAAGAAGCCCGAGCCTTACTCGCTTTCGCAGCAAAGACACCGGTCTCTCAGGCTTCATAAAAAAAGAACTGTGAATCCCAGTGTGGAACTTTCTTCGGGACGTCAACCAACCCGTTGAAACGTACTCTCCTCGCTTTGGAAAGGTAGTACATTTGGTCTTGCCCCTTTTTGAGCCTGTAAAAGTGAACGAGCTCTTCGACGGACGGCTCGCCCAAGTTAGCGATCATATACGCGATGTACATCGCAATAATGATCACGTAAGAATTGGCCGTTAGTTGAAAAGGAACAATGTCGAGTCGCCTCAACACGTTATCGATGAAGTAGTGTGGGGGAATGGATACCCCGTATTAAGAAGAGTCTCAAAGGTGGCTACCTATCCATATGGGGGGTTATTATAAGAATATCTCCTCAGAACCATCAAGTTAAGCTACGGCGCGTAGACTGCTCTTATGCGTTCAAGATCCCCGAAGGTGATCGAGGATTGTGGTTCTTTTTGTAGCCTATGGACTGGAGACGGCGGGGAGTGAGCCAGCAAGCAATGAATTCTTCAGAGACACCGGGAGACACATCCCCAAGGGTTGTTGAGCCTACTGGCGAATCAAACATTAGGTCTATGGTAAGACTACTGGAGGAAGACATGGCTATAGCTCGTTTTTGGGTACCTGAAAAAAGAAACGAACATGTGTTAGAGCTCAAACAAATCGGTAACTATTCCACACTTGCTTCTATTTCAAGCACCCGAGATAGCTCGCACAATACAATGAAGGTACGCGACCTACCCGAGATACCAACGGCCACTGCGTCAAACCTCACAAAAACCTGAGACCATCAAAGACACAACCAAAAACCCTACTAAAACCTTAAAACATCTAATGTGGCCACTACAGTAGCCACCCTTTGACACAAAAATGAAAAAAATAGAAGAAAATAAGGAAAATAGCCTTACCGGAATAAGAAAAGTGTTGGGAACTCATGAGAAAGACCACCGCAACGACGTAAGAACAACGACAAATGAGAACTAGAGTCAGAATAACTTTCGGAGTGACTACTCTGAGGTTTTTTGCTACCTTTTATAGTGGTTTGCACATGGGAGACGAAGGGGCGGGGTTTAATCAAGGCCGTCGACTTACAGTTGATCCTGACCTTTCGTTCATAGAGCAATCTCAGCCTGTAAATGTGGCCACGTGTCAACCATCTACAAGGAGCGACGAACCGTCAGATTGCCTTAATGATAACCGTCGCTGCACGTTGCCTTGACTTTGCGCGTGAACAACTGTCGTCGCCCACACATGATGAAACATAACTGACAAAGGCTGCAGCATTTAATGCGGTACGACCACGCAAAATTACCTGTATGCCCTAACTGTTCATACTCTGAGTTTTGACAAGTACCATAAGGAATAAAGATCCAAGTGTGAAGTACGTCGGCCAAGCACAAGGTCGACCATGGGGCCCAGTCGAGCACACACTTGGGGACTCACTGTTGAAGCCGAGCTTGACATCAAATCGAGCAATAGTCTTCAAAGCCTGAAACGAGCATCAAACACTAGGGGCAGATATTGTGTGTGATTTTTTTGTCTAGCTCGGGCCAACTCAAGTATATAGCTCAACCTAGAATGAGCTCGGCAACTATGATTGATCAACCCAACATAAGCTCGTCAAGCTATAGCGCTCGACCCAGCATAAGCTAGTCACGAACAATTCAAGGAATCATTCAATCAATCCCCAGATTACTTCAAATCCAAGATATTGCGGGAATGACTGGATCAACAATAATCACTGCGCAATCACAGCGCCCAATCACGAGGATATCAGAATTATGATTCGAATAAGTTGTAATCCCCTAAATTTCGTTTCTTCCTTTGTACCAATCTTGTATATAAACCCTCTCAGACAATGAGGAGGGAGTTACAAATTTCAGATAAAAATCGCATTGTAAGCTCTCACATCAAATACAAAAATACAGTGGACGTAGGCTATTAACATGACCGAACCACTTTAAAAATCTCTTTGTATTTAGTTCATTTCATTCATATTCATCGCTGATTTTCACTAATCACGCATACATCGATTTCAATCTTGGCAAGGTTAATCGGATCACGCTGGTTGGTGCAAAATTCTTTATCAACACAAATTATATTTAAATTGTTGTATCAATTATGCTTTTCAGTAGGAGTGTAGTCGAATCGAGTAGCTCCTCGACTCGAATCAAGACTAGGCTCGATTCGCAAAATCGCAAGCCGATCGCGTGTTCGAGTCATGATCGAAGCTCGCAAAAGTAATCTAGTTCCCAGCTCGACTCGACTAACTTGCGAACTGCAAAAAACTTGCATCGTCATTCGAGCACCGTAAAGCTTGAAAGTCGATCGCTTGTGTGACAAAACATTTACCCTAAAACAAACAACAACACTCGCAAACTCCCTAATTTCATCTATCCTTCAAACTTTCATTGCACCGCCACCGTCGTGCTGCCTTCATTACACCGAAAAGTCTGAAATGCCACCATCGTGTTGGCTTCATTACACCATTGTCCAACCTTCATTCAGCTTGGGTTCCACTGCTATCCAATTTAAGGGCTCTGAAAGTTCGAATCTGACAATGAAGCTGCTACAATCAAAGGTGAGCTTGCATCTCTCAGCATTTGATTTTAATATAGTTTCATTTTCTGAAAATTTATTTGAGCTTTTTATGCTTTTATGTGTAATGGATATTGTAATAATTTTTATGCTTGGTTTCAGACAGATGCTCTTGGAATATTCATCTGGGCATTTTCAAGATTCCCAAGCTTCATTTTTCAAGTGTATTTCAATGCAATGTTGATTTTTAATGCTTTTCTTGGTCTGCTTTAAACACAAAAATAATGCCTCCAGTCTGATAATCTAATGAATAAGTCTATCCTTACAAAGACTTATACAAAGAAGCCTACAAAGTGAAGAAAAAAACAAAGAAAAAACGGAAAAAGAGAGAGAGAGAGAGAGAGAAAAATCATGAAAATCAAGGATGAGGATTATCTTTGTATGTCTCCTTTGTATTTGTCTTTGTAAGACTAGCACTTCTCTAATCTAATATACAAAATATTAGAGCCGAGCCGAGCTCGAGCACCCCTTATCCAATATCGAGTCAAGCTTGAGCTGACCACTACTCGGCTCAGCTCAGCTAAAAGTACACCCCTACTTTTCAGTGCTACAATAGAAGGTTAATTATCTGGCAAACAGTAGAAGTACTGTAACATATATCTCTGTAGGTAAATTTTATTTACTCCATCAGAATAATATATATATGGAAAGGTTTATAATATTAAAAGCAAGAGGTGATGAGACATTAAAAATGCTTATATATATATATCAGAGAATAAAGACTTGAAAAGCATTAATTAGATATGTATATATTATTATGATGGTTATTTGGATTAGTACAAGATGAGATATAGCGAAGCAAACCAGCATTTTAGTTTGCGACACTAAGAAAAGATTATGATTTCTCTTTCTTTTGCAAGCACAAAGAGGCAAACTATCCTAATTATTATGAATTTCAAAATGCCAATCAAAATAAAACTAACTTTGAATGAAGCCACAAGATAGTTCCATTAGCAGGATTGCAGCTTCTTCAACATCCTGCGTAAATACTTGTTTAAGAGCAGAATTCTGGCTCAAACTTAGAGCAAAATCCTTAAAGCAAAGCTTTCTTTGGGGCTGATGATGAGGAGGAGGATCTGGAGACTTATTGCATTGTTTTTTGTAATGTGCAATATGCGTTGTACGTGATTTCTTTTCCTTGTTTTGCACCTTAATCTTGGAGTCGGTGGCTGTAATTGTGCCATTTGCTGCTGCTTCCATGGCCCGTCTTGCCTTCCTTTGCCGAATACCACAAGCGTTACAAAGTGACTGCACCAATATATGTAAAAAGGTTTACTTTTGTATATATAATGCATTTGACAAATTATATATCAACTTTAGAATACCTTAAAAGTTTTGCAATAGAATTATAATGAAGAAAAATTAAGAACCTTGGGACCACGAGGGCCGCTCCTCCAAAGGGGTGTGGTGGTCGTGTTACAGTCTGCGCAGACTCTAATGGTGTTGTTGCTGTTATTAAAAGAACTGGTTTCGTTAGTATCATGCATCTGATATTGAAATTTTTGCCTTTGGGTAATTTTGACGGATTCTTCGGTTTCTGTGCAATTCGAGTTCATCATTTTTTCCATTAGTCTCATCTTCGAGGACATCCATTTAGCTGAACTGTTTTCAGTACTTGTATTTCCTTCTGTAGCCTCTCTTGTACACAACGACATGTTATATCCATTGGTTGCATCGTTCATCATCGGCCGAATTGAAGAAGATGAAACTACATGTACATCACTTGATCCTCCTTGAGCCATGTACTGATTAACCTAAGATCAATTGAAGTAAGAGATTATCATACTAATCAAAAGCCAATTTAAGCTACCCCGCATAATTAAGGACCGTGCTAATGATCGTGAGATAAAGCTAAGAAAATTGAATCAGAGAATATAAGAAACTAGCTAACTTTTGTGCTTTCCATTAATGAAAGATCTGACTAATAAAGGGTCAAATTAACAAAGGCCATAGATTTTTATATATGCTTATATATCTGATATACATTTCATGTACTATCACTCTATAATTAAGCTATGATCATGAGAGATACTTAGAAATTAACCTAATAAACTGGAGAATTATGACTAACACTTGAAGAATCACAAAAAGATCAAAGATCAGATGTAGGAGATAAATAATCAAATAGTAAGGTATTTGTAAAAGGAGAAGATGAAACCACGGGGAAAGAATTAAAGAAGGTAAATAATATAACTATTGTAAGTTCACGTGTTCTTGCCTTCTGATCATATTGTTGCGACTCTTCAATTATGGCCATTCTTTGATCTTGAGTTGCGCTAAACAAAGTAGGACATGAGCGAGAAGAAGGTGGTGGATGTGATGATGACAGGAACAGCTGCAAATGTTGTTCATGCTTTTGCTCTCCATCAAGTTCAAAAGAAGGGGGTGGTGGGTTCAGACAAACAGGAGTCATGGCGAGAGAGAAGAGATGATTGCGGAATTGTTGTCCAGCGAAGATGGACAATATGGAATGGGATAGGGCAAATTAAGAATATGATCACAAGGCTAAAAGAACCTAAATAAAAGGCAGTAAAGGGTGTTATAAAGAAGGAGATCAAATCAATAGAAAGGGGAAGAAAAAAAGAGGTAGAGGCCTGAAAGCCATTCACGTGACTTCATGTCACCCAAATAAAACGAGATAAACAAGACAAACTAAAAGGAGCTGTAGAATGCAACTACTCAACCCCAGTATGACAAAACCCTATCTGCACTATTTAATTTATCTAGCTAGCTTTATGTCTCTCATACCCAGTAAATATAAACTATATATATACTGTATATACTAATTTTTTTTTCTTCAAGCATTTAAGTTTTTATTCCCTACACATCACATGTCTTTATTTGTCCTCACAGTACTGTTCAAATCTCCATTAATGCAAAATATTCTGCCCTTGTAATACAAAAATTTTGCAACACATTAAATAAAGTAATTAATAAGAAATAAGTTTAGATGATTCGGATAATATTATATACGTATTTATAAATAAAATAAAAAAGTAGTTTCTTACTTAACCACAATCATTTAATTAACACGTATACGTTTATTCTTCTATGTAGAGTTTGTGGCTTCTTAAAGAAGAGAATCTGTATTTTCTTAGAAGAAGATGACAAATAGTGATATTTATAATAATACAATAATACTATATTTACAAAAAAATTTTACAAAGATTTTCATATAAAGTGGGGTGGCAGTAAAATAATGAAAGAGTGAAACAAAAAGTCAAACTCATTATATTCACTCTTTCATTCATTTTTTATTACATCACTTTGTATGCAGATCTTTATAAGATTTCTTTGTAAATGTAGCATCACTAATAATAATATAAAGAGGTTACATATTGTCCAAAGCATGGTTATTAGTATCCTACGATACGCAATACGTATCTTACGATATGATTTGATACGGGTCGTCAATGATACGTATCACAGAGTGTATCCTAAACATTTTGATGTGTTGATATATATCCTATGATACGATACGTATCTATTCATGTCTTTAAAAATATCATTACAAATTGACATGACTTTATTAAATCCAAAAAAAAAAAAAAAAAAATTCAGGTAGGATCCAAGTCACCCAACCTGGTTCATTAAATTTACTCATTTTGCATGGAGAAAGTGAAAGAGGAAGATGTGTTTCCCATTTTACGTGATAATAATAACAATACATATATTGACATTGATCTTGGAAATGATATGCATGGTTGAAAGAAAATGATATAGATTCTTAATTTTGTATTAATTTTGATTATGTAATATCATAATTTAAAGTCAATAATACCACAAAATTCGTTAATTAATCATATGGATGATATTAATTTTTAGATAAATTTATCATTTTATTAGTTTTTTTGAAAAATATATACGATACGATACGATATGTGATACACGATTCGAAAAATTAGGTTTTCATACACGATACATATGTAATTTGGCAACCATGGTCCAAAGTTTTAAGATCGTAATTTTAATTTTCTTTCCTCTGCGTGTGGCAGAGTGCAGAAGAGAAGATACATATCTAGCCGTTTGGGTTCGTAATAGCCAAGATAAAGTCGATCAATAATCCAATATAGTTTATAAATAGAGCGTATCTTTGCCAAATTTCCACTACCGAAGCACAGAAAACGAAAGATATTTGGAAGATTGGGGAGAGGAATATATTATGCAGATATATATATAAAATGGGAAGGAAGATGGGTTGCATGCATGGGAGCATCTAGTGTTCTTAGTGTTGCCAAAACGCATCAATTGCTTTTGCAGGCTACGGAAACTGACAGCCTCTTTAGTCCCCACATTTTTTGGCCATCGATCAACCCTTCTCATCTTTTGCAGTTACCTTTTACCGGTTACTTCCAGTTAAAGAAATAAATTTATTGCCAGCTCCGACGCTTTTCTTTATAGTGATCTGTCATTTTGATTTCGTCCTTCTTTGTTGCCTTGAGAAAGCCCTGCTGCTATATCAATCAGCACAACAAAAGGTCTCCCTATAGCCACGTATCACTTACTGGTTAATTATATGCACTTTGGCTTGATATACATTTGTGTGGATCAAACATAAGCTAATTAAAATTAAAAAAAATCCCAGTCCTTTCATGAGATATTTTAGAGTTTATAAATTAATTATATCACCGAATTAATATTATAAAAAATCAGGTGAGTTGCTACTTCACATGTGAAAGCAATGATTACTTGGTGTCTGCAGGATAATGGAAGATTTTCTGTTCTCTTGCAGTTTCACAAGATTGCAAGATTATTGTCCGGTTCTTCCTTGTTACCTGAAATTCTGTATACCCTGAACCTGAATATACCATTTTGGGGTTTCCTAACAAGAATGAATGTTTGGATACATCAACTTATCCCTTTGAAGATTAGGCAACCAGATAGAATCTGTGTTATCTGTTTGTCGTCAACCAAGCCTCTCCAGGAAAGAATAAAACGTAGACCGAAGCCTTTAATTAGTTAATTAGCTTTAATAATTAATTTTATTTGAGTATACGTGACGGTGGAATATATCAGATTTTCATTATCTAAATCCTTAACTAATACTGTCCACAAAACCACATTATCCTTGACAAAACTTGCTCTCATTGGCCCTCGATCGGATATCGATCATCTCTCTTATGTGCAGAATGCCAGCGTTGAAAATCTTATAATTGCATGTTGGCAAGATCATAGAAAAGAAAAGACAAAAGCTTGATGCTTTAATCTTTTAATATTACCTGAATGATAATAAGTGAATCACAATGCTCCATGGTTTTCAGCTTTGGGCACCAGTCCCACCACACGATGTGACTGCTTGAAATCAGTGGATCACAAGTCAATAACGTTAATCTCTAGTCGTGATCAAAAGGATAAAATTTAATTAGCATGATTTATAAGATGAAAAAGAATGCTACGTGTGGTCACTCCTATCATGGAATTTAAACTTCGGATTAAAAATAAAATATGTGATGATGGAGACACTGTCGCTTATAAAATGAAGGTTGAAGTTGAAGGTGTCCCCTGTGCTGGTGTTTTGTTAATGATTTGGTTGCTCAACTAAGGGGGCCATGGTGTTAGAGCTAGATGACATTTTCCTGGTTGGCAAAAGGTCCCATAATAACCTCTCTGTCTCTCTGGGCCTTCTTGGGCTTAATAAGCTCAATCCATAAGTGGCCGAGGCCGAAATGATGGTCCTGGCCCTGGGCGCCTGCAAGTGCCGCTTTGAAACCTGGTGACCAGAAATAGCATCTTCTCTGGGCCTGAATAAAACAACCCTAAATCTAAATGTTAAAGAGATAGCAATGAAAATGGCGCCCCTGAACCTTAAGGAGAAAGTAGAGTGGACCAAACTCTCTAAATCAAGGAATTTGGGTGGAGGTTGCCACAGTGGGTTGAAGACTTGAAGTGGCAACTACTCAAGCTCTCTCTTTTAATATCAAATCAATGACCATTTATACTACCTAATAATGTACATTACTATTTTTGCCAAGACAAAAAACTGATTGCACCTCTGACCCAAGGCGGCTAACCTTCTTTTCTTTTATCTGCAACATCAAATTATAACCAAAACATTGCTCTTGGTATCCATTTTCAGTCTTCTTTATCATACCTTCTCACCAAGGTTGTCTTAAGAATTAAGGATTGTGATCACTACATGAAATGACTATAAGTATAACCACTAGTTAAATGAAATGGGGTGAATAAATACTAATGAGAGTCATTTAATTGATGGATGGCCATCATAGAGGTAAGATAATAGATATGTAACCTCTCCTCTTGTGACCGGATGACAAATCCTTTAGTCATTGGGGTTAGTTATACCCAAAGGTCTTATGTTAGAGTAATTGGAGAAAGGCAATTACCTTGTGTTACGGCTGATTGAACAAAAAAGGGGTTGAATTGGGGGTTTACATGACAAGAATAATTAACAAGTGTGGGCAAGCAAACATCTTTTTGCAATGGAAAGTTGAACTGAAAAGAACCTAAAAATACAGTGGCTGTGTGGCAAGCATAAGAAACCCACAGCAGGTTTATGATTCACCTGTAAAGTAGGTGAGTCTTGTACTGGGTGATGAAAGTGGTCACATCTCCTTGCTTTTTAGCTAGGTAGCAATTAGGTGGAGGATGGGTCTGCTCTGTGATTGTGAACTATGGGTTAGCCGTGGGGTCGGTACAACAGTAAATCTATTTGCTATATTAGTATATTCTTTTTTATATATTTCAATCAATTTTTTAGTCCATACGCAATCAATAAATGGAAAACATTTATTTCTTTACAATTTTATAGTAAAAATTCTCACTATTAGTTAAGATATTAAGATCATCACTCTCATCCATCCCTTACGTTTTAATAATACTGGACAATAGTTCTGTCTCAGTCAGAGGCTACTTTTGAGAATGCCATAACTATGATGGAAGGAATTTTTATTTTTATTTTTCCAAAAAATTTCCCTTTTTTTTTATCTTTTGGTTGGTTTGTGGTGGGATAATATATGAACATTAATAGAAGAAGGTGACAACATTTGTCTGGTTGCTGCAGAATCGGATACAATTTTACCAGCAGGATAGCTGGCACATTTGCTATTGTTCCTTTTAAGGAAGTTGCATTTTCATGAATACTAGAGAAATTTTTTGAATAATATTTCATCTGACACCTTGAAATGCATAGCTTAATTTAGATTAGACTCCCACAACACCATGGGTGGGTAGTCACTGCACTAGCAACTGCAAGGTTTCCCATTCTAAGCATTGTTTATATATATGTTAGAAGCAGAGCCATTGAAAGTTGAAACAGGAGCCAGAATAGATATGAAATCATTTAATACCAAGTTCAGCCTAATTTTTGTGTGTGTGAAAACTGAAGACACTGATGTTTAAGCTTCATTCTTGTGAAATATATAATATAAAACTATGGGAAAGCAATTGACCAACAAGTCCTATAAAATCCAAAAGGGCAATAGAAAACACCAAAATAGAGAAAATGGTGATGGTTTTGGTATTGGTATGATAATGAAGTGGATCACATGCATGAGTATAGTACTAAGTCCAAGGTGGAGGCGCAATGAAGGAGATACCACATTCATGCAACCCAATCGAAAAATATAATTATAAACCAAAATCTACAGAAGAACAAACAAGTTCAGGTTCTTGTTGTAAGACTGTGTTTGGCATTGGCTATGTCTTTGAGAAGAGGGATACAAATACCGAGTATTA